TAAATACTCTATCAATGACGATTATCCCAAATTCTCAAGAATTGAACCCTCAGAAATCTATTGTTCATATCGAGAAAGCAAATTCATCTGCCGAAGAACCTTATGTAATCAACAGATTAGTTCAGGTTTATTCGTGGCTCACGAAAGCCAATGTCGAAAAGGACTTTTCCGTCAAGAAATTGACACTGAATTCAAAGCTCCATTTATACCAGGAAAGGTTCGAGAAGAACTAGAAAACGTTCCAAGACGATTGATGAATTTTGTTCCCTCTCATGTCAAAAGTTCAGTTCCAAATGCTCCCATTACCTACACAACTCATGCTGAAAGAGCAGATAATAACCTCAACCTGTATGCTTGTCTCATGAGAAATAAGGAAGAAAATCCTAATGATCCCTGGTTAGGTCCAACTGGAATTCGTAGTCACGCTAATTTGAGACTCGGATTCTGGACAAATTTCAAGAGATCAAAAGATCCAAGTTATCCACTGGATGATGCAGAATCATTTGTTCAAAGTTTAGGTTTCGAACCCACTGTAGGATCTAAACCTCATCCTTCGGTAAAACCTCGACCTCGATCTATTAAATGGTCGAAAGTTCCCCTTTACCTTCAGCAAGCTAGTGAAGAATGGCTTTCTTATGCCAATGGGTTACCACCTTATCGAAGAGAAAAATTTCATGTTCAAATTTGCCCTGAAAGTAGAGATCAAGCTACTCCTTACATTCGCTTCAACCCGTTAACCCGACTATCTCAAGAACAGAGAGAAGAAGTTTTAAAACTTATCAAAAATTGGTTTCCCTCTCTTCGTGGTTATCGAGATTTCAATGAACCAGCGAAAATCACCAACCATGAGCGAACAACTTATCGTTTCAACAGAAACAACGCTGCTCATAACAAATTCAAACAATCAACTCGAATTGATATCGACTCTCTAGAGCCAAGAATTGAAAAAGCAATTCAATCAAACATCAAACAACATCCTCATCCAAAGACCTGTTATGCTGTTCATGCTGCTTATTGTCGCAGGAAAATAGCTCGTGATGAACGATTGGCCTTAGTCCCTCAACCCGTATGGATAATTATCGTAGATGGACACTTAAATGTCGTTTATGAATCTTTCGTCCAATATTCAACAATTGATCAAATGGATACTAAGTATCATGGACTTCGAGAGAAAGATTTAAAATATGCTAAAAATCTACCATCAGTTAAAGATCAAGTTTTAACCTATTTTGCCTCAGCAACTGAAATAGTTGGTGCAGGATTAATCAATTTATTTAAATCTTTAGATTTGGAACAATCGGAAATTGAAATTCTCAAGCCCAAGCTTAGAGAAATTACTCAATATTTTTCACCTCATCCAATTTCTGCCGCATCACTTGCCCTCATCTCATTTCTATTATTCTCAGGATTCACTATTACCAGATATTCACATTCACCTGGTGTAGAGGCTTTAACCTCAATGAAACTTTACATGTCATCATGGAAAGCGATTGAACAGAAATGTGAAGAAATTTCTGATGGAATTCATTTCGCTAATTGTGCAAGTACCTGTGCTAATTCTGGTGTATCGAGATTACTCAAGAAATTTGCAGACAAAGTCAAAGAAGGAAAAGCTTCATGGCCTCTAGATTGGAGTTACTATTGTTTCGGAGAAAGAGGAAAACCCGTTTACAATAGCTATAACTATGTACCACCTTCATCCCGAACTCCAACCATATCTCAAGCCTCATCCATCCATGAAAATGACGAAAAAGAAGATGAAGAACCTCAAGATTTAGAAGTTAATGAACAACCATCATCAATGGAAAGACAAGTTCAAGAAGAAAATCAATCTGATCTACAAGAAAATGAAAACTTCTCATCTCAAAATTCAAGTAACACAACCAATACCACCGAGGATGCTGAAAATTCATCTGAAGCTCAAACTTCATCATCAAATACAAGCTCAGCTGAAACATCCTCATCATCAGAATCATCATCTACATCATCATCATCTAATCCATCTGAATATATAATTCAGGAAATACTCATTAATAATCCCATATCAACGTCAACTCCACCACCAACTTTCACTGAAAGTTCATCATCACAAAATTCAATCTTTCAATTGAATGAAATACCCTCAAGTCAAGTAAGACGAGATCTCGCTTATCCAACCCGAAGATACTCAAATATCGAAGAGGAATTGGCTCAAGAAAGAGAAAGAGATCAACAAGAGGAAAACCCGGAGGAAAATCAAGAGGAACCATCGAACCGTCGAATTTCAAATTCAGTTTTGATGAGAGTTCTAGGTCATAATTCCGGAGTATTGTGAGGTAGTGAGTTTAGACCCACCAAAACTAATTCTTATTCGACTCAGAATCAAGAATTTTCTTAACATTTAAAACCTTTAGGTTTATCATTTATCATTTATCGCTTATCTTTTACTTTCTACTTTATTCATTTTAATCTCAACCATATAATCAAAACTCAGTAATCATGAAACTTAGATTTCAATTACTCTTAATTACTTTTCTTTGTAACTCAAATTACTCAAATTTTCATTATGTTAATCCCCAATTTAATTTTGTTAAATTTTGATCACTTTAGAAAGAGACCAAAATTTGTCTTTCTTTCTTATCATTGTTTAAACCCAATTTATCATTTGATTAACCCAATTATCTCACCTTATCTTTAATCGCATTATTAAGCTAAAAGCGCTTTGTTAAGCCTTGAGACTTATCATCATCATTATTTGACCAATGCGATCATTTTAATCTCTTTTTCCCCCAATTGTTCTAGAAAATCAAAACTTAAGTTTTATTTTAATTACTTGTAACGAGTAACAGTAAGTTAACTGTCTACTCTCAACAGAATAACATCAAGTTATCATGAGTAAATTTTAATAAAGTTCAGTTAGTTGAATTTCTACTCTTTTCTTTGTTAACTCAAGTTACTTTGATCACAGTGTACATGGTCCTATGCGAACCTTAATTACCTGATTATTGAAGGCAGGTAGCAATCAATTAAGATTCGAAACAATTAGAATTGTAAAGTTTACAATCAGAGTGAAATACTCAAAGGTCTTGAAACCTAATCATTCACAAAATAGTGAAACAAATCGATCTAAGTGATAAAGCTTCAACTTTCAACCTTATCTAAAGATAAGAAACCAAGCGAAAACCTTTCAACATATCCTTCTTATGTATAGCATTCAATTAACATTACCATTGGAATATTTCATCTATTTTATCCCCAGGGTGAAATGAGAATAAACAAGTTTTATTATTAATACATGAATGATGGTGAAAATTGTGGAACTTGCTAATTTCAATGATTAATGGATTATCTGAACAAATTTGTACGATCCCTGTGTGTTGATAATTGGAAATGTTAATCACTTAGAATCACAGTTAAAGTCAAAGGTAAACCAAATGTTCAACTATACCAGCAATTAATAACTTACTCAAACTCGTTAAGTTGTTAATCAAACCCTTTACTGTTATATATAACTGAACAAACAACAGAACAACTGAAAAGATAATATATTAAATCAACTTGATTTCCAGTTAATTCCCTTGTGACAATTTGTAACATTTAATCTTAGGTAAAAATTGGATGAATCAACTTTTCTAATTCCTATTACAAGTCTCTCACAATTCAGCATTTCGAGTCTTATATTTTCCTGCCTTTTTATATATTTCTTACCTTTTCTCATTATTTTTTTCCATCATTCTAACAATGTTATTTACCTCATATCGTCTCTCTCTCTCTCTCTCTTTTCTTTACCCTCATGGTTATTACTTTAATCTTGATTCTGTTCCATGAGTTTCCATGATGATGCCGATGATTCTGTTTACTCTTTATTATTTGTTGCTGTTGGTTTGCAATCAAATTATCACCCAACATGATTGCAAACTCATTTGACAGTTTTGTTTACTTTTCATATTTATTTAATACTTTCCACTCATCTTTATCATCCCCAACCTCATGAGCCACACCACACACACATATATATATAACCTTCATCGTCTATTCAACTCGATATCAAAATAACAATCAACACAAATACACACACACACAGAGACAAATTTAATTTCAATTGAATGAAAGGTAAACATATATTCAGAGAAAAGAGAGAGTAAACTTGAAGCTAGAAAATTTTTATCATATGTTTCCTTTTTTTCCTTCACCATGAAATGAAATATTAATATTATTTCATTGAATAGAAAAATAATTGTGATAGAAAATACTTTAAATCTATTGAGTTGGAATACTTTTTTTTTACATCAAAGAATAGTGAAGAAGAAGAAAAAAATTCAATACATATTTAACCTGGAAAAGTTTAAGGATAATCAATATTCAAGACAAGATTTATTCTCAGTTCTGCTGAATTAGATGGAGACATTTTATGTATCATGAATTTTGAATACAAACAAAAAAAAGTATTTCTCCAGTTAAGTTGTGACAATTTATTTCGATACAATTTGAAATGTAATATTTAATATAAGTTTTTTTTTCCTTTTTCTCTTCGTTGCTCCTCACAAAATTCACTTGTCAATCCATGTTAATTGTCAACTGTCTCCATTAATGAGATTAACTTTTCATTAGACTCAGACTCTTGATAGAATCCAAGACAGGTAAGACTACGACACTAAAGAAATACACAATTAATCATCTACCTTTACTTCAAACAACCGATTATTATTATAATAATATAATCAGTTACAACTGTCTTCATATTCAGTGTATGGACCACACCTTTACCTGGTCTATTTGATTATCATTCACGATTCTGGTTAATGTTATTGGTCAGTTTGTATTGATTTGTTAATAATGAAACAAGTGAGTTATGAATTCAACTATTCTTTTCAAATTCATTATCCCTGAAAATCTGAGCCCACCAAGGAAGAGAGAGAGAGAGAGATCATGAAACAATCAGAATTTTATCTATTCCATAAATTGGTCATTCACAGGTAAAGTTATTATTGAAACATTGATAATAATAATAACCATTGATTGAACATTAACGATTAATCAGGTTGGAATTAGATTTATTGATTTTGTTTCATTTCCTGGTGAAAAGAAAAACACAGAATTCAATGAACTCAAATAATGGAAGATAATTAACAAATGAATGACTTTAATGCTCGCTGATTGTTAACTAAAGATGGCGCTCATTTCGAGAATGTTCAAAAGAGTCGGTGTCGAATTTGTAAAAAAAAAGTTTCTCTCTCTCTCTTTCGATCATTTTTACTTACTTTTATTTGGTGATCAGCGAAAGTTAAATTGTTCAGATCATCTTCATCTCCAACGAAACTCTCATCATCACCATCATCATCTCAATCGCCAGTAGAAACTGTTTTTTTTATATTCCAATTACTCTCACGATCATGTTAACAGTTTGTTGATCATCAATTATTTTTTTCTTCTTCCTCATCATCTCCCAATTAACTAATGGATTTAAATCATTTGAACAGGTAAATTTTACTTAATCAAAGTCTATCGACAATGGGATAAAAAATAATGACTTCTAATTGTGACAATTTAATCATCTATCTGCTTGTTATTCGGGATTGTAAATGAAAATTGATTAAATTGCTCAGGATAACGAGAAACTAATTGCTTGTTGTAATCAGAATCAAATTAGTAAATCACCAATTCCAATCATCTAGTGAATCTTTTCCATCGTGATTTTAATTGTTATCATTACGCTTTCTGGATTAATTAAACAACAAATTTGGATTACATGTTATCACCATTTGTGCCAATTAATCAGAATAGAAAAATTAAAATTAAATCAACTAATCAATAAGATCTGTTAATGTGCTCCCAATCATCATCATCATCATCATCATAATTTATTAACCGTTAACTTGTGTGATAGCCTGAGATGAAATTTCAACAATTTATCAACACTTTTTGGTTAATTAACTGTTATCTTACAATACAATTAACTATTGTCAAAGCTTCCAATAAAGTGTCAACAAATTTACAAGGTAATAATTAATATCTACTTACCGATAATCCTTATTATTATTATCATTATAAGAATATCTTAATTGTATCGGATTAGATTGTTAAAGATAATTTATGATTAGATTGATTGTTTACTTCAATGTAAAGGTTAAAACCTATTCTTAGCAATTGAACAGTTGAACAATTAAGAGTCAATTTGAGAAGTTAATTAAGTTCACTTGATCGTAATTAAATTAGATTTATTACATTTAAGTAAAGTCGCATTGTAATAACTTCTTGACTGTCAACTAATTGTTAATTAACAATCTTCATTCATCTTCTTATGATTAAGTTAACAATCGTAAACACAAATGATAACAATATACTTGTGGTAATTAATTTTTTCACATTGACTTTTATCATGATTATAATTGATGATTATGATAATCAATTGTTAGCCAAATTGACAATATAAATTAATAACAAAGAAAGAAAAAATCTTCAATCAAATAGAGACGATTAATTTTCAATGAGTCAAATTAACTATTAAAGACCAAATAAAGTAATCGAAATTAGTTAAGGTCAATTGATTAATTTTAGTTGGTAATACAATTTGGAAACCAAATAATAGTAACAGTCAAGTTACAATTATCTTCATTGATGATAATAATGTTCACCACAAAATTAGATTGCAAAATGAGTTGAACAATTAGCTCAGACCAATTCGGGAAAAGTTAATAATTTGGTGTTTTTGTTTTCTCTCGTTTCTCCTCGATTAGGTTCAAATTGTCCCAATATAACCCGGAATTCAAGGTTCAAATGTGCCCAAAGTTTGGAGGAACAAGCGTGTGGGTGTTATGTTAAAGCGTATAAACGTTGGCTTAATTCAAGTGTCTCAGTTTCCCATGAAAAGGGTTCATGTTGTTCAAAGCTCGAAGTGAAAAATTGTGTTGAAAGGTTATTACGGGTTGAGAAACGAGAATGTAAAAATCGTTGGGAAAAGGAAGCTAAAAGGTATGCTGACCTTGTTTTACCTGTTAAAGAATATTCTTGTCGAGATTATCGTAAGCAAGAATATTGTAAATTAGATTCGATAAATTTAACGCTAATTATTTTACTAATCACAGTTGCCCTGCTCGCTATTGTTGCATGTCTAGGATTCACTGGGTATGCTTGTTATAGAAGATACAATGAATAATAATAATAATAATATAATATAAATAATACCCAATGTCAAGAACACCTTAGAATTGTAATTATTATTATCATTATTATCGTTATTATTATTGTTACAATTACCTTGGACTACTTAATTATTACAATATTCATGACAGAAAATTTTCACATCTCAATTAGAAATTTTCTTTTTACTTTTCTCTATTTCTTTTCGTTTTCTCGAATAGCTAATTCAATACTATTATTATCTACAGTTTATTGATATCAACTGTTGAAAATTTCCCTGAGAATCGGGAGAAAAGAGGAAAACGATTTTATATTATATTCATTAGGTCAGTTCTATGAATTAAGCTTATTTCTTTTCTGTTTCTTCTTAATCTTTGGCATGAAAAATTCAGTAGAAAACATTTAATTTAACACAGGGAATGATTTTCCACCCAAAACTCATGCTCAAACATCCGAACGATTTTTATATATATAAACAACAATAATAACGATCCAATAATGATACTGATCTTATCATTTTCTCATTTAGTTTCTATCACAGTTTCAACCGAAAAACTGAATAATTCTTAACTTTTTCCAGAATTTCGTTTACCTTTAACCCTCTTCAGCATTTCGACTGTTATTATCGCTAATACTATTATTATCACCTTTTAAAACTTTCCTTATTCTGTTGTCTTTTTTTTCCCTTTTTTCGTTCTTTCCTTAATTTCCTCTCGTTTCGAAAAACTTTTTTTGTACTAATTGTAATTGTATCATAGCAAATGTTATATATAAAATATATTATCAAAGAAAAAAAAATGTTATCAAATGATGAAGACAAAAAAACAAAAGATTCTCGAGAGAAAAGTATGAAAATAACTTTCTCTTCCTTTTTGTATTGTAATATAATAATAAACACGGTGAAAATAATCCATTGATTATTCAGGAAAATTGTTCATAAAAAAAAGATAAACAAAAAAAAAATGAAATAAAATTCATCATTGATGAAACTTATCAGTTGATTTACTTGTTGTTGCTTCTTTCGGAACTGAAATGCTGAGATTTTTGTTTGTTTATCCATCATCAAGATGCTGTTGATATTATTTTATTAGTTTTTTTTTCTTCTTCTTCTTCCTCATGATGATGTTGATCAATGTTCTGAGTTACATATGGAAACATTGTACAGATTACAAATGGATGTTAATCTCGTGAGAAAGGTTGAATTTGAGAGCAAAGGAACCAGAATGAAAGAGAGAAATATTCATTCCCATGATAATTTCACCTAAAGATTAATACATCATTTCATGATGCTATTTAATCTTGTAATATAATATAAAGTAATATACTGATGATGGTTGATGATAGCACTCAGGGTTCTAGTATTCATTACGTTTGGGTTAAAATCGGACTCAATAAGATGATAATAATAATGATAATAATATTTTGTTTGAGTATTGGTTTTGTAAGTGTGTTTATTTGTCTTGATTGACTGATTGAAATTCAAGTAACAATCTGTTTGATCTGGTGAGATTCAATTTAATCCTTAATTCAGAGTAAAAGTTGAGAAATTGTTCATCAACATGATAATCATTCATTATCATTATCGGAATCATTATTGTTATCGTTATTAATCAATTATTCACTTTTGGATAACATTTCAGATCATTTCAATAATAAATACTCCCAATGAAGATCACATCTAATGATAAATGATTCAACACGGTTCTCAGAATTCACATGTAATAGTTAGGGTGAGAGAGAAAGGGAGAGTGAAGAAAATATTCTGTATTCATTTATATTATATCTATAATGTAATAAAGCAAATACATTAATCAGAATTAATCATGTGGAGAAAGAAAGAAATTCATTGGGAAAAAAAAGAAAGAGGAAAAAAAATATAAGAATCGGAAGAAATAACTTTTCTTAGAACTGAATTTATGATATTTTTTGTTCTGATAATATACTTTGACTGTTGACTGATAATTCTGATCATTTGACTCTTCATCTATGGTGAGATTCAGAGGAGAGAAAAAAAATTCCAAGCTTAATGATTGTTTTACATTGAATTCCAGAATTCTCAGTATATTTATACTTGGATATATATACTTACGGCTATTTATTTGTCAGAATTGGATTGATGTGATATCATTAGAGGCAACATTTTGCTTGGACTTTTGTTCATCACCATGAAACATATCAACTATCTACCATTTTGATAACATTTGTCAGGGTGAAAAATCAAAACATTAGATGGATGTTAATAGAAAACATGATAAATTATCTCAATTGGACAGGGTAGAAATTTATTCTAATTTCATTACCATGAAGGAAACAAAGTTGAATTAACTGAGAAGAGAATAACTTTTCATTGTATTAAGATGTAATAATGATAAGTGGTCATTTGTTCAGTTCTCAAGACTCGAGGCTATTTTCCTTTATCTCTCTCCTGCCCATTTTTCTGGAGTGTTTGTCCACCATCATCATGATAACAACGATAAATGAAATTTATGTTTAATAATCAACCAAGAATAACTTTCTAATGATATTTACTTTGGTTTTTATATCAAATTATCTGATAAATTGCTTTCGACTGGTCAATGTAATCTTAATGTTTGCCCCTCCCTTTTTCACCAAAATAAGTTCCATTTTTCCTCCTTTTAATAATAATCTTTATATTATCTGAATCATCGTCATTCCAATGTTATTTATCAGAACTGAAACTGAACAAAGTGTGATGATTGATGGAAACTCGTCTTCGCATTTCGTTTCCTTCTTAACAACAGAAAAGTATAACTTTTTTCTTCTTCTTCTTCCTTTTCTCCTTCATCATCTCTTAATATCATCATAAACATCAGCATCTTCATCTTCATCTTTACTCTGTCTCTCACTCTCTCATCTTATCATCCTCTGCATCATCATAAGATCACAGCATCACAAGGGCACGTAACAATCGGTTATAATATTGTGTAAAAACATATATATTATATTATCGTTTTTTCCGTTTAATCTTCACGTTTTTTTTTCTTCTCTCTTTTTTTTCATCCTCATCTTGATCTTCATCTTGATCCTTTCTTTTTCTCTCTCATCTTTACCTCATTTTCCTCCCATTATGCTTTGCTGATTTCTTTCCGATCTTCATCATCTCAAGTCATCTTTTTATTTATTGTTTTCTCATCTTTATCATATCTCTTTTCTTATTTTTCTTTATTCTCTTTCTCTCTTCATTTCATCTTATTTTTTTTTCTCTTCTCTTCTCTTCATGCAACATCTTCCTCTTCATCTTCACCAGTTTTTCTTATCCATCTTCATCTTTATTCTTATCAATGGCAGATGAAGAAGAATATGATGATTTTGATGATGGGGAGGAAAGAGATCAACAGCATCATCATTTTCTTTTCTCGAATAACCCTTCAGGCTTATTGGTTAACCTAAAATGTCGATTAACTTTCGAACTATTGACCAATCAACATTCTGATATTCTCATTTTATTCTTTCTCTTCCTCATTTGATTTCTTTTGTTATTCATTTTTCTATCTCGTTTTTTTTCTCCCTCTATCTCTTAATTCTGTAATTTCCTTCTCATCTTGTATAATATTTGCCAATTTATCCTCCTACTTCTCCTAATTCTGATATTTATCATGTTATCTCATTCCATGATATCATCTCACTTAAACATTCTATTCTATTCCTTTCTGTTCTATTCTATTCTTACTCTCTTTTTGTCCGAAAATCCAAAAGAAATTTGTGTCATTTTCTCTATCTCTACAATTGTCACATTTGTCTTAATAAATGACCTTAACATTGGAAGGCTCACACTGGTGGGAGGGTTTGACAAAATCAATAGTAGAATTTGGAATAAACGAAGATGAAGATAAGAGATAAAATAACAGAGACAAAGCTTTAAGATAAAGAGGCTAAAAGAAAGTAGAAAAAGAGAGAGTGACCAGTGACCAGTGACCATCACAATGGTGAATTCATTATTAAGGTTGCTAAGGAAGATGCTGAGAGAATGAAATAAAAGTTACTTACAAAGCGATGCAGCAAATAATTAGGGACAAGAGTGAGAGAGAGAGAGAGAGAGAGAGAGAGAAAGTGAGTGAGAGTGATAACAGAAAAAAACCTTTGTATTTAGCCTTTGATACGAAGACTTAATGTTAATGATAACATCAGATGATATCGTTATCTTTTTCATTCTTTCTCACAATTATGTTCTATTCTCTTTCTTTTTCTCTATCTTCTTCGCCTTCCTAACCATTCTCATCACTTCATCTTCATCATCATTATCTCCATCTTCTTTCTCTCTCTCTCTCTCTCTCTCCGTCATCTTCTCCTTTTCCTTATTCTTGCAATGGACAAATAATTGACTTAAGGTCATGAAAAAGGTTGAATGAAGAAAATGAATTATACAGAATAATACACAAAGATAATGAGATTAATGACAGAATTGATAATAACAGTGCAGACCAATGGTCACTGAATGAAATAACCGGAAGTTATATTTATATAACACATTATCATCCTTAATTAGCTTTCAATGGTAATCATGAAATAATAACAATAAAATAGTAACATCTTATATTGAATATACGCCTTGGATGTATTAATAAAGTGAATGACAAAATGTTCAACCAATTGAACTTAATCAATAGGAAATTTCAATTGATGCACAAAATTTTCCTCAAATTTATAGCTAATTTATATTTACACTTCTAAACCATAAGAGTATTGGTAAATTATCACCATGAATAATCAGCGGGTGTATGAGTGATAAATTCTGAAAAATTTGAAAGCAAAGGGAAAAAAAGTTCAAATCAAAATTAGGTGCTCAGTATTGACTCTTAATGTTTTCTTTTGGATGGTGAAAAAGGTTAATTTCAATGATTGAAAGTTTTGAAGAAAATTATCTAACCAGAAATTCATTCATCATGAATTACATGTGTACCCTTACCAATGCTCTGAGTTATCATCAGATAAACATACAGGTAATAAAAATTATGCAAGAAAATGAATTAGATCTGAATTCATTTCTCATTTTCACCTACAACCAAACCCCATGTACTCTGTGATCATGTGAATACCTTCAACTGATAATGATAAATATGAACCTAAAAAGCAAGGAGAGAGAAAGAAAGAAAGAAGAGAGAGAGAGAGAGAGAGAGAGAGAGAGAGAGAGAGAGAAGTAAAAAAATCTAATTATATTTTCACTCCATGAATACTTAGAATACAAGAATTCATCGTAACAAGGGCGTGTTCATGATCATTTTCAGTATAAACTTTTCTTTTCTCTTCATCATCATCATCATGATCTTTCATGTTTATACTCATCCTTTGAAACTTGAAGCTCAAGTATATTACAATAATATCAAGGCAAGGATAGATTATGATAATGATAATGATAGAAGAAGATGAAGAAAAAAAAAGGTTTCACCTGAAGAGAAATTTTTTTCTTCCTCTTTACCTTAACCAGAATGTTAATATTATTCATGTTGTATAATTTCAAGAAGAAGATAATTTTTCACCTGAAAATCATGAAATGGAAACAAAAATCAATCTCTTATCCATATGAAAAAGCTTTTCCTTTCTCCATGACAATAATTATACTGATTCATTATTACATTTCATTCGTGATCATCTTAATTTCATTGTTACACTTTTTTTCTCCATCATCATGATGTAATAATTGTAATTCTACAATTTTCAGATATTAATTACAGATAGTCTAACATAATCAAGTTTGAATAGCGATAATTAAACATGATTACAACACGATAGTGTATATTTATATCATTAATTATCAGTTTAATTCCATTGGTACCACAATTAAAATTGTTCAGTTTATTTTGTTTATCTCTTTTTCTCAGGAAAGAACCCAAGGTAAAAAAGGTTCAATTCTGTTGGTAATTCTCTCGATGATAGTTAGATAATTAAACTAGATTAATTTAGAATTAATTTAGACTTTGTTGATTAAAACAAGTCACAATTACTATTACATAGAAAATTCTATTGTCTTTTTGTTTCCTTA